GTCTTTACTTGTATCTCTCAAAACCCAGTAAATGTGATCCAGTTTATAAGCAGCTTAATATTTCCCCAAAGACTCTGACCTCACTCAAGCCTGGCCCAGTTCCCTTATGCTTCATAATTGCCTTGAACGCTCTCAATGTGAACCCTACACCTCTGTGAAGTCTCAAGCCAGGAGGGTGGCTACCTCTCTTAGGCCTTCTCCCTTTCTTCTGCACATTCTATTCAGGCTTTTCTCTCTCCACAATGCAGATTCTATAATATAAAGAAAAGGACTTGTGTTTAAAACAAGAGCATTTCTTAGATTTTGAAAGGGCAAGGAGAATTTGAGCAAGAAAAGACAACAGCTCTCCCGATTTTCTGCCTACTCCCTCCACTTGTTTTCTCTTCACAGACGATGCCTATCATTTTAGAGCACGGTGTGGCAATTATGCTGCAACAGGCTAAGTGATCCTTGAGCCATTTCAGGAGAACTGCTATACTCATAATTGCCTAGTGGATGCTATGTCTACAGTTCCTTCTATTAAATCATAAAAGAAAAGACAAAGAAAATTACGGAATAAACCCTACTCATAAGGAATTTATAATATGAGTCAGACAGAAGAAAAGCATGTGAGAAAGATGTAAAGGAAGAAAAAATATTCATAAAAATGACTCAAGCTCTACACCTGTGAAGGCTATCTGAATACTAACCATATAACATGACCAGAATGTGAAGGCTACCTGAATACTAACCATAGAGCATGACCAGAATGTGAAGGCTACCTGAATACTAACCATAGAGCATGACCAGAACATGAAGGCTACCTGAATACTAACAACATAGCATGACCAGAATCCTGGGGATCCAGGAAAGTATTCATGGAAGACGTAGATTTTAGTAAATATTTTGAAGATGTGAAGGAGAGGTTCATGTGACTAGGGATGTCAGTATGTGGTAGCCTGTGAACTGTTACTTGTTGGAACACAGGGTCTGGGTAGGATGGGAGGAATTTACTTCCAGTGGTAATGAAATCCCCCTGTGCCTGAGCATACAGCTTGTCCTGCGTGACTTCATTATTTATTTATCCATTTTCTTGCTGGGAGGACATTAGTTATACCTTTTCCTATTTCCTACATTAAATGTCTCCTAAAGTCCTGAAGTATAGATAATACTTACCTTCTCCTTCCCTCCCCCATAGTGATTGTTTAATACATACTTGTTGAATTAGAGTTTATGGTAAGCTAGTTGGGGCCAGTGAGGGACAGAAGAATTACACTATTTTTCTTAATAAGTTTGAGTTTAATGTTGGAAATGACAGAGATTTAAACATGTTAATGATGTGATCAAAATGATGTTTCAGGAGGAAGACTTTCCTGTCAGTCCATATCTGAAGCGGAAGACAATCAGAGAATCTTTTGATGTCTATAGCTGTTCACTGGACATTCAGGGAAGAGATGGCCCATATGGGTGGTATACAATACTGAGCATTAAACTGCCTTTAGTCACTGGAACTGTCAAATAAATGTTATTAGTCTTAATGAACTTTATGGACTGACTAAGTCACTTTGAGAATTTCATATGTGTGAAGAAATTCCTCATAAAGCTTTTTTTGTTTGGTATTGCTGATTATAAATAAGACTGACAGCATGCTGTAGAGTGAGGTTTTGGCAGGCTTTAAGTAATGTGTCTGCATACAGGATTGGAAAGAATGGAAGCGGAGCTCTAGATTTAAACTTTAGAAAAGATTTTTGGGAAGGATTTATTTTCTTAGGAACTGTCTGATGAGCCATCTAAGAACTAATCTCTGAGACAACTCTATCCCCTTCAGAGCAGGAATGTTTTAGTATAATTGCTGGCACTGATGTGATATAGGTAGTTCTGTGTAGATTCACTTTTGCTCACAAAAGGTTCAGGAGAATTATTTGTGTCTAGGATTTAACAGAAACTTAAAAATTGGAAATCACAAAATAGTTATTGATTGGTGACTAGAGTGAAGTTTTCAATGATTTTTCCTTTCATTTTTTTTCAGCGTAGGTTTGAACTTATAGCCTAGATTTATTTTAAAAATTTCATGTTTATCTTAATTAAAGTTATATGCAATGTGTGCATACATAGTTTCTGACTTTCGTTGCGCATATTTGCTGAGTAGAGTACATACAACACAGGGAGAGAAGTCCACTTGCAAAAGAAAGTCCACCTAAATGTCCTATTGTGTTGCACTTGTCTTCCGAGGCTATTTTTATATCAAATAATAACTTTAAAATGCTACAATTTGCAGCATCCTCTCTGAATGAGATTCCTCCTTCTCTCTTTTCCTCTCTCTTTTTGTTTGGTAGGGACTGAACCAACGGCCTCCTGCATGCTAGGCAAAAGCTATACCACTGAGCTTCATCTCAGTCCTGATAAGACTCCTTCTCTATAAACCTTTAACCTGACCCTGAGATAGAAATGTATTGATGTGTTAGAAATTTAATGTGACGTGAATACTGGAAAAATACGGAATAAATTCCATACATCCATATAAAACGTACATATCTTTTTTTTTTATATATCTCAAGTCATTCATTTTTTTTATTTTTTTTAATTTATTTTAATTTTTTTTGCAATACAATTCAGTTCTACATATCAGCCACGGATTCCCTTGTTCTCCCCCCTCCCGTCCCCCTCACCTTCCCCACAACCCCGCCCCCCATTCCCATCTCCTCCAGGGCAAAGCCTTCCCCACAGACTGAGGTCAACCTGGTAGACTCAGTCCAGGTAGGTCTAGTCCCCTCCTCCCAGGCCGAGCCAAGCAATCCTGCATAGGCCCCAGGTTTCAAACAGCCAACTCATGCAATGAGCACAAGATCTGGTCCCACTGCCTGGATACCTCCCAAACAGATCAAGCCAATCAACTGTCTCACCCATTCGGAGGGCCTGATCCAGTTGGGGGCCCCTCAGCCATTGGTTCATAGTTCATGTGTTTCCATTCATTTGGCTATTTGTCCCTGTGCTTTATCCAACCTTGGTCTCAACAATTCTCGCTCATATAAACTCTCCTCATTCTCGCTAATTGGACTCCCAGAGATCCACCCGGGCCTAGCCATGGATCTCTGCATCCAGATCCCTCAGTCGTTGGATGAGGTTTCTAGCACAACAATTAGGGTGTTTGGCCATCCCATCACCAGAGTAGGTCAGTTCGGGCTGTCTCTCGACCATTGCCGGCAGTCTGTTGTGTGGGTATCTTTGTGGATTTCTGTGGGCCTCTCTAGCACTTTGCTTCTTCCTATTCTCATGTGGTCTTCATTTATCATGGTCTCCTATTCCTTGTTCTCCCTCTCTGTTATTGATCCAGCTGGGATCTCCCGCTTCCCCAAGCTCTCTTTCCCTCAACCCTCGCCTTTCATTACCCCCACTCATGTCCAGGCTGTTCATGTAGATCTCATTCCATTTCTCTGTCATTGGGCGATCCCTGTGTCTTTCTTGGGGTCCTGTTTTCCAGGTAGCTTCTCTGGTGATGTGAGTAGCAGACAAGTCATCCTTGTTTCATGTCTAGTATCCTGCTATGAGTGAGTACATACCATGTTTGTCTTTCTGAGTCTGGGTTACCTCACTCAGGATGATTTTTTCTAGATCCATCCATTTGTCTGCAAACCTCATGATGTCATTGTTTTTCTCTGCTGAGTAGTATTCCATTGTGTATATGTACCACATTTTGTTTATCCATTCTTCAGTTGAAGGGCATCTAGGTTGTTTCCATGTTCTGGCTATTACAAACAATGCTGATATGAACATAGCTGAACAAGTGCTCTTATGGTGTGGTTTGAGCATTCCTTGGGTATATGCCCAAGAGTGGTATAGCTGGATCTTGGGGGAGATGGATTCCCAATTTTCTAAGAAAGCGCCATATTGATTTCCAAAGTGGTTGAAAACGTACATATCTTTATATATTTAGGAGTCATAGAAAATGAAAAAAGTATTGCCAAGTAGGTACAAAGCAAGGGATATCATATTTTGGAAGCTGAGAAAGTAGCTCTTCCACCTAATTTAAGTAGTGGGAGAAAGCATAGCAGGGGCCCTTTAGAGAATCCAGGGACCTAAATTCTTACTGTTCTAATAGCTTCCAGTGTCTGCTGTCCAGTCTCTGGACAAATGGACATAGGAAGCACTGCAACAAGCTACATGCGTGCTTTTCTTCCTTTTGTCTTCACAGTTTTACTTAGAATATTGGCTTTTTGGGTTAATTCCAATGGTTCAGATCATAATGTAAGCTTATTCTTTTGGAGGCTGTGGGAAACAATAATACAATAAAATCTTTGACAGTCTATTTTGTTATAAAATGTAACACTCATTCTTAAAAGCACAACACTCTACTAAGTTATGTCAACAAAAGATAGTATTACACACACACACACACACACACACACACACACACACAAGTGCCACTTCAAACAATAGTTTTAATGATACCAAATTCCTCAATAAATTTTTCTTACAGTGACATAAGTATGTTAATTAAAAACTTAGACAATCAGTGAAAAGTGAATGAGCAGAGACAAGAAGAAAAATAAACTTTAGCCACAAATATTTGCTCATTGTGGTACTTATTTCTTTAGCCCAGGAGATGAAATTTCAGTTTGTTTATAAGAACGAGCTAGTCCTCCCTCAGATGACACAGTGGCTATCTGAATGTTTTTTGTATGAATGAAAACCTCGTGTCCCAGAGAATAAAAAGACAAGGACTCACATAGTCTCCTATCAGGTTTCTGGCTTTTGTGGATTTGGCAGTTTTTAGACATGTTGAAAAAATACACCTCAAAGAAGTATGACTGTAGTCTCTGAGCATACTCTGTACAGCAGATCTCTCTGGCAGTCATGACTTAGCTATAGCTTGTAGGGAGACACTTGGCTGGCCCGGTGCTTCCTGGTTCATTAGCATAGCCCAGCCCACTTCCAACACACGCCCAGAACTACCTCATTAACCATTAGGAATGCAGCCAAAAACATAAGACGACAGTGAATATAAAGGGAATTACTGGCAAGGGAGCTGTAACCATCTCACCACTGAACCCATTACTTTTCCAAGATCAGAAAAGTATTACATTAACAGGAATCATTTCTTATTCAGATAAGAATTCAAGGTTTGGGTCTATCATTTTTATCTAGAGTAATTAGCTGAACTATGCATAGTAAGGCATGCTGCTTAGTTGAATCCATTATGTTTCTGCAACGTCTCTCTGTCTGTCTCTGTCTCTTTCTCCTGTCTCTGTCTCTGTCTCTGTCTCTGTCTCTGTCTCTGTCTCTGTCTCTCTCTCTCTCTCTCTCTCTCTCTCTCTCCTCTCTCCCCTCTCTCCCTTTTCTCTCTCCTCTCTCTCCTCTCTCCCTCTCCCACTTATTATTTTCTGGATAGCTTTGACATTGTAAACCACAGACGAATTGGAGCCTGGCATTGAAAGGAGGTGTTCAACAACGATTTTTTTTCTCCCTTGTCTGAAGAAGTTGACTACTACAGGAGGGATCTGAAAAATGACGGGAGCAAAGAGGAAAAAGAAAAGCGTGCTGTGGGGCAAGATGCACACCCCCCACTGTGAAGACATTAAACAGTGGTGTAAAAGGCGCCTACCTATTTTGGAATGGGCACCACAGTACAATCTGCGGGAAAACCTGCTTCCAGACACTGTGTCTGGGGTAATGTTGGCAGTTCAACAGGTGACACAAGGTAAGTGTTGCATTTGAGTTTACAGTTTTGTTCATAATGGATGTTGCTTTGCTTCTTAGATGAGGATTATGATCCAGGCGTGACCGTCTAGTTAATGAAACAGACTTTTAATAAAATAGATAATAACGTTAGGAAAATAAGCAGAGTAGATGTTTCTGTTCTGTGTAAGATTTTCCTAATTGCTTTTAAAATTACTTGGCTTTTTTTTTTTTTTTTTTTTTTTTTTTTTTGGCTAGGAATTAAGCAATTAAGCACCAACCCTTGAATGGAATTACATATTTTTCAATGTTAAAGTTCATACTGATTCAAAGTAAACGATCAGTAATTGTGGGAAAATTAGCTCTTATAACTTAACTGTGCTGACATAATTTCCTACCTTCATCGAATCAAGCTATAAAATATTTCCTGTTTTGAACACAATCACCTTTCAGCCTAATTAGCACCACACACTTACCTGCTGTAGCCTTGGGACTTGCTATAAGCAGGAAACAAAGCTTTTAGTACATAAAGGAGGCTTATTGCCAAGATCACTATTTGCACAGAGAATCCTCCGACCCCAGAGCTTGTGCAGGCTGCTTATGCTTGTTTACTTCTGCACTGCATTTCCTGAAGCATTTGTGTCTCAATAAGAAATGGAACAGGGTAAGAAATCAGACTTCTAACTTTCCCAGAGCAGAATCAGAAAAAGACATTCTGGGTTGATGTGTGTGTGTGTGTGTGTGTGTGTGTGTGTGTGTGTGTGTGTGTTTTCCCTAGCAGTATGTTCATCCAGGTTTTCACTAATTCAGGTAATAATTTTTTACCTGTAGCCAGGGAAGGAACCGATTTCTCAACTTCCCAGCTTTAAAACTTTGGAACCGTTTTCTTGGCAAAGACTCCTTGGGATCATATTTCCATGCAGTCTCACTACCTCCCTGGCTTTAACTATTATTTATTCTGTTCAATTATAAGCATGCTTTTAATGAAATTATTCTGTAGCTGGAACAAACTGGTTTGTGTATTTGTGTTTGCAGCCTGATTAGGAACATCTGCACAGGGGCCTTTAAGAGCCACAATACTATCATACTTTATGGGGTCCAATTTTACTGCTTAACTCTGTGTTGTATTTTTAATGACCATTTTGCCAACAGCAAAGCATAGTTAATCTTTAAAAAATGCAAAGTTAGTAACAGGTCAGAACATTTCTAGCCTTTCTTGTATTTGATTTTAAATTCCAGATGAAACACTACCATGTCATTTGAAAACTTCGGTGATGGACTTAAACAGGTTCCCCTCCCTGACTGGATAGTTTCACCATATCCCATCCATTTATTTTGTGGCTATTCAATATAAAATGAAAGAGGAGCAATTATGACTTTAGCAGTATTTGTCTTGTTATTTTTGAAAAACACCCAGTGACTAAGAACATCTGGGGATGTGGTGCAATCTCCCTGGGCTCATCATTAGGATATGGCTTATGTGTAAGCCTTTGGTAGTTAGCTTTGCTTAGCTTTTGAGTGACTCCGTTTAATGGGTCATGCATTACGTTGATTAGGAAGACAAGGATTGGTATGCCCCCAGCTGGTGAAAACAGAAAGCTTACTCAGCTCTGGTACCATGAGAAGGATGGATCAGACTGCTAGGTCCCCGGTAAATGGACAGTTACACTGCTAGGAAGAATGTAAATGCTTTTCCTGTTGTAAGAAAAGATGAACTCTTCTTCAAATCCCCTTTTAAAAATGTATTTCTCAATCTTTTTCAATCTCTTCTACTGTGAAGTGTTCAAAAGTAAAATATTAGGAAGCCACTATGTGTTGCTACAGACCCACTCTTTGAAATAATCCAGAGTTAACACCAACCTTTCCATGGGAGGAAATGGAGGCTTTAAAAGGTACATTTCTCCGGCCCTCATACCTGAGAAGTGGTGGAGTCAGGACTCGAGTCCAAAGCCAACATGCTCAACATTTTCGCTTTATACTCTATACTGCCAAAAGCATCAGACTTTTTGTAACACCAATGTTATTTGTAATAGGAGACATTTCTTTGGAAAAGTCTGAATGTCTTTCTCTTCAAATGTGGTCCATGTTCAGGTTTCATCCCTGAAATTTTAGAGTCAAAGCAGAAGTGAGCAGAAAAGCACATCAAGGGGGCCATGCAGACATATCTTCCTCGGCTGCTGGACGCCGATGCTTGTGATCAGCCCTGTCTCTTTAGGGAGATTAGAAGAAAGAAGGAATGAGGTTTGCTCTTGTACTGTAATGTAAACAATAGAAACAGATCCCTTTGGACTTTCCTGATATGTAAAGAAGTATTTAAGTCATTTAATGCAGTTGAATTATAAGGAATTTTTGAACTCAGTGTCTTTTAACCTATAAATCCTGAAAAGCAATATGCCTCCACCCAGAAATCACTTTTTCTTTCTTTTATCTCTAGAAGTGGAGTCAAAACCATGATAATGAAAAGTATCCTGAGTGATACCATAGTCATGTTAAATTATTTTATTCAAGACTTTCTAACTGTGAGATAGATGTTATTCATACACTGGGTTCCTCTGTTGCCGTTCCTGTGGGCTATTGTTTAGACCTCTTTCTTCTGTTTTTTCCCCCCTCCTATTTATTTGGGCATCCGTTCTAATGAACATTTATAGATTTTTGCCTCCTCTGCTTCCTATCCAACATCTTTGAGATATTTATCAGACATCCCTATCTTAGAGACTCAAACCCTGGCCCTATGCTTGAAAGCTCTGTAGATAACTCATCTGCATAAAGGACTCTAACACCATCACTATGCTACAGAAGCTTTCTTTTCAATCTGAGGGCCATATATTAATCTACACCAACCTTGATTGTTCTAAAAGCACACCAGATGCCAGACTGCTCACCCTATCACTATGGAACTGGGCTAAAAGCACTCCAAATGGAACATTTGGTCTTCTAAAACAAACACTAGATATTACTATCCCAGCCAGAATTATGGTAAGCAATAATAAAAGCCACAAATGTATAACATTGTCAAGAGATCTCTCGGCATATATACCAAAAGGTGGTCTAGAGCGGTAAGTAAGTTGCCTGAAGCCACACAGAAAATAAGCGTGAAAGACATTTGACCTCAAGTAACCTGGCTTCAGAGTCTCCTGCTGGCTTTTGCTTAGAGGGAGTCCTGTTTGACATTCCGAACTAGCCCCTCTCTTCCATCACCTTCCCCTCCTGACCAAGTTCTTTGATGTCTGTCCTCTGGCTATTGTTATGAAGTTTGTGACCCCTGGGGAAAGACCATAGACTCAATCCAATTATAATTTCAAGATTTATTGATTAGCCAGTACCAGGATAAACAATCTCTGAGCCAAATTTGAGATTGCCATGCAGAAGGGGTTGGGGGGAAAGGACTTTTAAAGAAGAAAACCACAAGATCTTCAGTATCTATGCAAGCAAGAAAAACTGTTCTGTTCTGCCAGGTTAAGTGGTTAAGGCAACTCAAAACAATCCTTGGACCTGGTCCCACTGCCTGGATACCTCCCAAACAGATCAAGCCAATCAACTGTCTCACCCATTCGGGGGGCCTGATCCAGTGGCTTGGGGGGAAGGTGAGGGGGACGGGAGGGAGGAGAACAAGGGAATCTGTGGCTGATATGTAGAACTGAATGGTATTGCAAAATAAAAAAAAAAAAATCCTTGGGTATCTGTGGAAGCAAGTTGCAGAAGCAAAAAAAGCAGTTAATTATGGCATAACAAGTAGATAGTCACGGCTGTACACTTTTGGGTGGGGATCACTGAGTGAGGGTTACTGGGAACTTATCTTCCAGGGACTGGAGTCAGAGACAAATGGCTGGTGGGCACCAACATGGATGCCTGGCATAAAATGGAGCTTCTTCAGCCATAACATTATCTTTCCAGTCAAGTAGCCTTGCTTCATGTCCTTGGTGCTTCTTAGTGGGCTGAATTACTTAAACCATTGCCTTGTGGCTCTTCACTGTCTGCTCTGCCTCCTGGAGATCTATGTCACACTGCCGCCAGTGTACTAACACAAACACAACAGGCCGATCATCTTGCTTCCCTGTGCATAATTCCTTAATACCCAACTATTTCTGCTAGAATAAAGAATTGAATTACTCAGTATCTCTTATTAAATGGTTAATAATCTGCACCTCACTGTATAAAGCTGTACTGAAGGAGAGTTCCCCCTCTAGAATCCCTCTCTGTCTCCTGGGAGGAGGAATGGTTTCCTCCCTCTCCCTTTGTCCTTTTTACATATCTCTGTGATAGGCTTTATTTAATACATGGTACTGTAAACTTCTGATAGAGTTCTTTCCATGGTCTGTGAACTCTGAAAACAAAGACCGTGTTTTCCTCTTTGTGTTCTTACCAACCTGGATATTACCTAGCACAGGAAGTTGGTTGTAGGTAAATATTGAAAGATTTAAGGCATTTCCTAAGCCACTGGTTGTCCTATGGTGGCTTGCTGACACTGTAGGAAGGCTGTTGAATTCAATTTAAATCTGATGCTTTAAAAACAAATGTAAGAACTACCCTAGCAGTGAGAAGGCGTTCAAATGTGAGCAGTTGGCTCTTCTACCTTCTTGTATCCTTCTAGACCAATCTGCTAAAGACTCATTTCTTTGCCCCCCAAAATGCTGGTTATTTAATTTTTCTTTTTCAAAATAGTTTTTGTTAATTCTTTGATAATTTCATACAGTGCATTTTGATCATATCCATCCCCTCCTTCAAACTTTTCCCAGATACCCCCTCCCCAATTTCATGCTCTCTGTCTCTGTGCCTCCCTCCCTCCCTCCTTCTGTCCCTCCCTTTCACGCCTTCTCTGTCACTCTTCAACCCATCAAGTCCAGTTTGCACTGGCTGACCATTCCTGGGCGTGAGACCTGTCCTGGTGTGTCAAATAATGTTAACTATTTTTGTCCAACCAACGCTAACAAGATGAATACGTCATATAAAAATTCAAATGCCTTCTTTTGGAAAGAGGGAGGAGGTGCAACACAGAGCCTGTATTGCCGGGTCGGGGAGCTG